AATTTTTACAATTAAATCATAAAAATTGTAATAATAAAAGTTGTTTCTCTTGATAAATTCTATATAATTCTAATTTTAAAAAAAACAGTTAGCCAATAGTTAAAGAGTTCGCCAAGAATAAGTAATAAAATTTTTTGAATAAAAAAATTTCTTTAAAGTTATCTAACTTTAGTATATAGACAATTTATAGTTTTTTTCTTATAAAATAATATATAGTTATTGGATGCGAAGCATCCAATAACTGGAGTTATTTGGCAGGTGATATGATTATATCGTGATCTGTATGATCACAATATTATCATTACATATGACAAATAATGGAAAGTATCTGAGCTAGAATTTTATCGGGAGATGACTAGGCCCCGCAGGGGCCCAGTCATTAACTGATAAAATTCTAGCTCAGATACGATAGTTATTGATGCGTAGCAGCTAATAACAGTATTATCCGTCAGTTTACGACAATTGAGCATCACATGAACATAAGTTAAAGCAAAAGTTTTAATTACTAAGATAAGTTTAATAATTAATGACGTAATTATCTTTGTATATAAATATTTAGCTAATTTAAAATCGATCAGGTCTTTTTTTCGTTAATATATAAAAAAAAATGCCGAAAGCGAACACACTAAAAAATCGATATTACAAACCTACCAGTAGTGAAATCGATGAAATTATTAGAAGCATAATTCCTAAGAATACCTGTAGAGCAACATCTAAATGGGTTAAGATTTTAGAAAACTGGTGCCATGATGTAGGATATGATTATGGAATCGAAATTATTACTGATAAAAATCAGCTTGAATGTGAAATGACTGAATTCATTTTAGGAATTCGACAAATTAATACCAATAAGAAGTATATGCTATTATCATTGATTAATTGCATAAAGTTGCTTAGTGTATACATTTTAAAATATCTTAGAAGCAATAAGATTTTTAATATATCGAATAGAAAAGAATTTTCTCATTTATGAGAGGTGCTTAATGTGAAAATAAAGAAGCTTAAAAAGCATAAAATCTATCTCATTATCATGATCATCTTACAAAAACAGAATTGAGAACTATATTTCAGCATAATTTAGTTTCAAGTAATACACTACAAGGCTTGCAATACCAGGTTTTTATGTGGTGTTACTTGCTATTTCAACCCTGTGGTAGTGAACACTACAATTTATCAATTTCACAATTTGTATTTACTTCTAATGGTAGTATTCATTTTATGAAATACTCTTAAAAAAATGATCAAGGAGGAGTAGATAGAAATTTGAATGCACTTGTTATATCTGTCCTACCTGATTCTGAAGATTTGCAAGGCCCTGTATATAATATCAAGCTATATTTTTCGAAAAGACCAGCAAATTCTCAATATACTTTTCTTCATTTAAAAATTAATAAAAAAGCGAAAAGTAAATATATTTTTTGTTGCTATATATAATTATGTAAATTAATTAATACTTATCATTATTATTATAGATTATTCGAAGAATTCATGGTATCTTGATGAAAGGCTAGACGATAAAACGTGTAGATCATTTATAAAAACACTATATAGCACAGTTGGAATTAATATAGGTGATCGTGATATTGTTAACTATTCAGGCCAGTCAACTCCTATTACTTTTCTTTTTCAGAAGGGAGTTCCTATGGGTACTACTATGTCTATTACTAGACATAAAAGTGAATTATCTTACCAAATTTATGCACGACCTTCTGATAAGCAACATGAAGATGCATTATCATTACTAATTGATAGTGTTGGAACTTTACCTTCTAATTCTCAAGAAGAATCAATTAATACGAATATCAGCTTTTCTCAAGTATCTGTATATATTGAAATTAATTTGTAAAGTTATAGATTATTAAATCATATATTTATATAGGATAACAGTTTGCAAAGTGAAGTTGAAATTGAAATGGATGCTATTCCTACTAAGGTACATGCTTAATTTATTATAATATAATTTTTTCTTAGTTAATAGTAATTTTATTTAATATTTTTATTCTAGCACAAGAATTCTTTTGAACCTATGTCTCTAATCAGTCCTACCTTGATAAAACTATTTCATCAACCATTGCAAACAAGTTCAAAAACAAACTATTCAATGTATGTTAATGCTTTAAAACGAAATCCCACAATTAGTAGACAACAAATTCTCTATAAAAACTCTTATGAAAATAGTAATAGTACTTCTTATGAGGATAGTGCTTCAGGTACTGTCGTGAAGAATTACTACATTAATGCACAAACTGTTAATATTAGTTAAATAATTTAATGCTATGTTTGCTATTATTTAATATTTCATATTAATACATGTACAAACATTATTTCTCTGCACAATAAAATAAAGAATTTCTATGCTATTAATATTATTATTTTGTACAATTAAGAATTTTAAGGCTGAAGGCTGATTTGTTACATATTGTATAATAAACTGAACTCCGATTGCCAAATAACCAAAATAAACTTTTTTTTTGCCAGAATAACTCGAGTTATTCTGGCAGCTCAATCATAGTAAACTGATGGATAAAAATAAATACTACAATTATATAATCCTTATTTTTAAATATTATCAAAAAAAATTTTGTTTAAATATATTAATTTTATAAAAATATAGATCATAGGTATTGTTACATAAATTTTCCAGGCAAATTTGCCTAGAATAGCTTACAGATTAAGTGATAATATAACCAATAACAAGTATAGTAGTTCAGCTAATTTTACTAATATTTATTTTGTAGACACAATATTTTACTAACAATCAATTCACAGATATGTTTGTTTTACAGACAACTAATTCCTAGACAAGATCATTTCATAAACAACTTATTTCACTGATAGCTTATTTTACTAACATTATTACTATTAGAATTAGAATTAGAGTTAAGTTAAAATTAGAAGAATTATAAAAAATTAACTTGTCAGTAAAATGAGCTATATATAAAATGAGTTGTCTATAAAATAAACTTGTCTAGAAATTGGTTATCTATGAAACAAACATGTTAGTGAATTAATTGTTAGTAAAATATTATGTCTATGAAATGAATATTAGTAAAATAAGATATATTCTAAGTATAGTACATATTAATTTTATAATTATAGATTAGCTTGATTTTTATGATATTAAAAACTATAATATTGACAAGGCTCATATTTGAACAAATCCAAATCAAGTATATATAAAATTAAATAATTTAATAAAAAAAGAGAAAATTAGCTTTACTTATAAAATAGAAAATTAAATTTTTACTATTATACACAAATTGATAATCTAGCAAAAGCTTAATTAAACAAGTAAAAATGAGGTTAATATACATAACAAATCAAAAAATCATAACAATAAATAATCAGGTCTTATTATTAAATCTAGTTGTTTTTTGTTATACTAAAAAAGTTTTTAAATATAAATTAACTATTTATAGTTAATAGTTTTTAATTTTAAAATTGAATTTAGAATTTATTAAGATTACAAATATCAATATCTTTAGTAATCATTATGTAAAAATATTGTTGATCTAATTAGTAATTATTATTTTGTTAACTCAATAAAAAATCTTATGAAAAAAAATAAAAAATCTAAAAAATCTAATAAATATATGGAGTATTGTTAACTAAAAAAGCCTATTTATACATTTTTAAAAAAAATGAGTTTTTATTAAATTCATGTATATTTTGATATAATTGATATTTTTTAATTATAAATAAAAGTCAATTTGCATAATGAAAAATAGAGATAATATAGAAGAATGTATAGAAAAATTATATGAAACCAAATACATCACAAGATTACCTAATAGTTGTCTGTTATTTTTAACTAATTAAAATCATGAAATTTGGTTAATTTAGATTAGTTTGAAAATCAAAACAAATAATTAAACTCAATTATCTCAAAATGAAATATATGTAAAAATGAGCCCTTTTAGTTAATAGCACCCTATATGTAAAAATTCATATTAGGCCACTAGTATTAATACCAAAAAAATTAAACTTTTACTATTATTTATTATAAAATCTTTGTTATATTATATGTATAAAGATTATATAATACTACTAGTTATATAAAGAGTAAGTACATAGTATTGAAAAAGTATGTATATAGTATTAAGAAAGTATATACATATAATACTCATATTTATAAACATAGATATATATATAAGATGTAAAAAATAGCATATGAAAAATAGACAACATATAATGATATATGACAAATAGAGGTATACATACTAATCAAATACTAAGAATTGTATAGATACATTAATACTATATACTATATACTTTGTATTCTATTCCTGGTACTCTAAAATAATAACCTAACCAAATCATCATGTAGTATCTATTTAGTATAATATTAAATATAGAAACTCTTATATCAAGAACTATTATATTGTTAAACTGAAAATTGATCTTCTTTACATGATTGCAGAAGCATATAATCTATGTAAACTTAAAGATAATGCTAAATAATTAAAGAATTTTTATATATCTAATCATATTTAGAGATGTACTATTTGGATATTTCTATATTGTTTTATACTAAATCTCTAGTAATAAATTAGAGAATAATTAGTTAGTTTCAGATATTATTTAGAATCAATATTAATTAGTATATTAAAGAAGTTCATCTCTTCCCTTTGACCTGTATATAAGACCTGTAATTTGGACTTCTTTACAACAGACTTCAATATATCCTTTTCAAGTAGTATAGGATTCAATTTTTCATTATCTTATTTATTGTACTGTATATTCATTATATTGAATAAAGTATTAGTTCATATCTTTATACATAATTAAAATCTAATAAACCAACTTGAAGTTATCATTAAAGTAACTTAATGATCTTAAATCATATGACTATCATAAAGAAACTTCATAATTTTTTTTTTTTTTTTTTTTTTTTTTTTTTTTTTTTTTTTACTTAAGCAATCTTGCTCATTATTTTATTAAGAGAAAACCTATAAAGGTATTATGACAAATACAAAAAACTAAAACTACTCTAATTTTAAGACTGCTTTTTTTGTTTCAATTCTAGACTCACTTGACTGCCTATTAGATGCCCAAATATGATCTGCTATAGCAGCATTTTTTCTTCTACAATATGATATATATTATAACATAATATCTAATTGTAATCTACAGAAGACTACTACCAGTTCATATTAAGAATGCCTTATTTGTTTTTGAATTTTATCTAGTCCTCTCTTTTCTTTACTTTGATCCAACTTCTTATCTTAATATTCACTTCTTTTAAGATTCTTTTAACTTTCATAGATACAGATTCTTTGTTTATACTTATAGTGACTATGTTGTTTTCTTTGTTTGAAGAATTTGCTCTATGATTTCTCTTCTTTTTAGCTTTTTTCTTACACAAATTAATACCTTTTTCTTTTTCTCAATCAGATATAACTTTACAATAGAACTTCTATAGTTTTTCAAAGAAGTTTGTTCAAAAAATATCAATGAAACAGAATATCATCTAGTTGGCTTTAGAGTTTGAAGATACTAGATCTCTTATTTCTTTAACTTGGCTTTTATTTGTTAAGCCTCGAATATGAAACTTTCTTTTTTTAATTTGTGTTTTTAAGTCTCTTCTCAAGATTACTTCTTTTAATCTTGAATCTAATATAAAGATATTCTACTTTCTGAGAGTTTTAGAACTAGCTCTTCTATGACAGCTACTTCAGTACGTAGCCAAATTCTTTGATAGACTATATATTCTGCTAGATATCTAAATATTTCTTTTGCTATGAAGCAAGCTATATATGTATCATTTTAATAAAGCTTTGGCTATCGTAAGTAGTATATATCTCAAGTTGGTAGTAGCTTATTCAAATATTTTATTCTAAATAATAATGCTTTGCTTTTTTTGAGACTAGTGCATCTTCTGCCTTATTGACTTTTTAGTATATTCTATATTGCATCCCAGTTCAAATCTTTACTTCTATTACTTTCAGGCTTTAGATTTGTTATGTTTTTGAAACTACTTAACTCCACTCATTCTGTTTCATATGTAATAGATGTTGTGATATTTGCAAAAGATCTGATTGAACAATCAACTAACTTATTATTCTATTTTAGCAGAACTTTTAGCTTGTCTATATTAACATCCTTCACTCTTAGTACCTTATTGAAGCTCAGACCATTTTTTGCTAGCTTATTAGCTCTGTTATTTCAAGAGTTTCTGCTATACTCTTTAACTTTTATTAAGCTAAACTCTATATTTTCTGCCTTATAACATTTTTAGATTTGTCTGACTAAACTACAGTTTTTGATCTTAAATAAGTTTCATATATTTTGGATTTGCTTATTGTTTTATAAACTGGCTATTGCTACTTGGCTATCTATGAAGATATTTACTTTTGTACTTGATACTACTGCTAAAACTGCTATCTATATTGCACTAAGCTCTGCATGAGTTGATAAGGGCCAGTTTGCTATCTTACTACTAAAGCTAATTCTATCTAGGCTACTATCTTCTACACTAGCTACTATCTATCTTATTCATATTTTCTTGTCTGTATTACCTCTAATATTCTTTCCTTCTAGTGATCTGTTTGTGAATATATTTAATACCTCTCTTTCTCTTAGCTTTTCTGATACTATGCTCAGTTCTCTTTGAATATTTTCTTCTTCTATTACTTTTTGAATTATCACTTCTTCTAAATTTGGAATACTAATTCAGACTTCACTCTGATAATTTAACTCTTCTTGAATATATTACTCTAGTTAATTTGAATAAGCTAATAAGAGGATCTTTAGTTCTACTATACTTTGTTTTCTTTTAACTATTCCTTCTACCACTTGATGCTACTTATTCATATATTTACTGACTATGCAATCTGTATTATTTTTCTTACTAAGATTGCAACTATTACACTTTGTCAAAGTAGTTTAAGACATATTGTTCGATTTTTCTATTTTCTAATAAGCTATAGAGAATTTTTCTTCTGTTTTTTGATTATTTTGCTTATGAGAAATATGTTCTCTACTTTTGTAATAACCCACTCTTTTTTCTTTCTGTCTCTACTTATTCTTTGTTTTTTTGCTTTAATTGCTTCTTGGTTTATACCTATCAACTTGAAGTCTTCTGCTAACTTTTTTATGATATTATTTGCTAGTATTTTCTTTTCAATCTTATTATACTAGTTTGGTTTGTATCTTTTTGCTTTGCAACCTCTTAATAAGCAGAGTTGTTGCCAGAATAGAAGACTATTACTTTCTGCTCCTATTAGCTGATTTGTAATAAATATATTCAAATTTTTGCTCTCG